AAGAGAGCAGCAGTGAGCGGTCTTTATTACAGGAGGGGGCGGAGACAAGACCAGTCACCCTGCACAAGGAAAGAGAGCAGCAGTGAGCGGTCTTTATTACAGGAGGGGGCGGAGACAAGACCAGTCACCCTGCACAAGGAAAGAGAGCAGCAGTGAGCGGTCTTTATTACAGGAGGGGCGGAGACAAGACCAGTCACCCGGCACAAGGAGAGCAGCAGTGAGCGATCTTTATTACAGGAGGTCTCACACTGGATTACTGCACAGATTTGCAAGAAATACACGAGCTCACCAAGATCCAAGAAGAACACACATGACTCTTGTATGAGGACAATATTTGCTCATCCTGGTTTTTAGCTTGAACACCTCTAGATGTTCCCTATATTATAACAAACTCTCACATTTTGAGTTCTACATTAAACTGAAATGTCGTAATTTTGTGGAACTGAAAACACTCACGTTTGTGGACTCCTGACCATCACACATATATGTGCTTGTTGGACATGGTCCCAAAACCATAAGCAATAATATGGCGTTGTCCCCCTTCCTTCCTGGTTATTAAATTCCAGCCTCCACACCTCTGGGAAGGAAATTGGTGCTTATTCAGCCAAAAGGGCTTTTTTTGTGAGATTTGTGAGGTCCGGTTCTGATGTTGAGTGAGAGGACCGGGCTCACAATCGATGTTCCAATTCATCCCAAAAGTGTTCAGTAGGGTTGAGGTCGGGGCTCTGTGCAGGACACTCGAGTTCTTCCACCAAGCTTGTCACCCCATGTCTTCATGGAGCTGGCTTTGTACACAGGGGACAGTCATGGGGGAACAGAAACGGGTCTTCACCAAACTGTTACCACAAGGTTGGAAGAGAACAATTGTCTAAAACCTCTTTGTATGTTGCAGCATTACCGGAACCCTTCACTGGTAACACCTGAATGCAAACATTTGGGGGTGTGATGGAGAAGCCTGGGGGCTAGCCTCCTTCCTACTGACTATGGGCCTAGGACTATGGAGACCCCCCCCCCGGACCTCTTGGGGTTACAAGGAACTATTATCCCAGGTTTATGTATGGAGTGGATATACTGCATAGTTCCCCTGGCATTACGTTTAAGTCACCGTGTGCCCATTATAGGTACAGGATGTGAATTCAGCAGCACTGAAGGGGGTTAATTCTGGACTTAGACTTCCATTGAACTTGTTACAGTCTATTTGTCCATTTGTTTCATTGTGTTAATGATGGGATTAACGTAGCTGGCTCTAGGTGTAAATGGCTCTAGGTGTAGCTGGCTCTAGGTGTAGCTGGCTCTAGGTGTAGATGACACACTGACTCTAGGTGTAGATGGCTCTAGGTGTAGATGGCTCTAGGTGTAGATGGCTCTAGGTGTAGCTGGCTCTAGGTGTAAATGACACACTGACTCTAGGCGTAGATGACTCTAGGCGTAGATGGCTCTAGGCGTAGATGGCTCTAGGTGTAGATGGCTCTAGGTGTAGATGACTCTAGGTGTAGATGACACACTGACTCTAGGCGTAGATGGCTCTAGGTGTCGATGGCTCTAGGTGTAGATGGCTCTAGGTGTAAATGACACACTGACTCTAGGTGTAGCTGGCTCTAGGTGTAGCTGGCTCTAGGTGTAAATGACACACTGGCTCTAGGCGTAGATGGCTCTAGGCGTAGATGGCTCTAGGTGTAGATGGCTCTAGGTGTAGATGGCTCTAGGTGTAG